TTTCGTTTAGTCCTAAAACTTATATGTCAATCATTTAGACACACATTTTTTTTATAGATGATCGAGTAAGTCGAATGCATCATCTAGATTCTCAGCATTTCTTAGAAATATTTAGATGACTAACAATATAAAAACTTAGGTACAATTTGCGATATATTTATTATCTGTGCACAGTGACAAACAGTCGGCCACAGCTAAAGTTATACAATCATCTGTTGAAAGTCTTTGTTGCAAAATGTACTTTACGTGATTCAAATTCGCTATTTTGCCCATTGTGTGTTTAATGTTTAATGCTTCATGTGCAGCTGGGTGTATATGGTATATTCTGTATGTATCGACCAGTACACATTCTTAATCCAACGTGCAAGTGTTCTCACGATGTTGCCATTCCTCTCTAAGAGGGTCAATTCACTTTTGGACCCTGACATTAGGCGCTAGTATACAGTGTCCGTAGTACAAATTCCCTTTATACAATTCCGCTATTTGTGGATATTTAGTAGCAATACCTCTCGCTAACGGTGGAAGAAAACAGCGTGATTAAACATGTGTGTCGAAGACTTTTGGAAAACGTACGAAGAATATGACCTAAATCCTCTTCTGAGAGGAGACCGACAATTGAAACGCCCAACAGCATGAAGTACAACGCGTTAGTAATGATGGCGATGAAATAATCCGTAACAATAATTCCAAACAAAAAAAGGGCCCAGACGACCACACCAATTGCCTGGTCGCAAACTAGGAAATCCTCTTTTTCTTATCGCGTCGATGCTTCTTTTATTTTAAGACCATATTGAACCTGGATAGTACGTTGCTGTTTTGACTGCGCTTTCTGGGGTATACAAGGGGTATAACAGTAAGAGCTGCATGGACTGACTACTACTAGCACTACTAGACTAACATCTCTGAAACCCCATTTACGCATCGTGTCTCTGCAGCGTCCTACCTGAGTGGGAAGTCGATTTAAGGACTTCCACACGGAAATCCCCTGTACTATGGGTGCCAGATCAACGGAATTAATTCCGGGGCACAACACTCACAGGAGAACAAATTTAGAAAAGTTATTTTTCCAAATTAGTCCTACCGGCAATCGAACTCGGGTCCTTCGCATCCAGCGCGCACATGACTTTTGACACTTAAAATTTTGTAGAAATGTCGAGAACAAATTATTTACATCATCAACACAAATTCTAGAAAAATGTAAACGAAATGCTTTCCGAGAAATGCAAGGTGAAAGTGATAGACGCGCGATATGCAAGAATGCTTAATTAAACGTGGACTGCGTCCATTTTTTGGCATGTCCGATGTTCCAAGACGTCATCTTCGAGCTGCGTTGCCTATAATGAGCAGGTAGAATGGCCTTAATTTCACGGTAGTCTAAATTTCAATTAGCATTGATTTCAATTACCGCTCAAGTTTTCCGTTGCATACCAAACAATTGAGGTAGGCAGTCTACAGATTTTCAGAAGTCACTTTTCACAAGCCTTGGTTTATTTACATAAACTGAATCCGTGACCGAACGGTTACCATGCCGGTCTGCCACGCAAAAGTTCCGGGTTCGATTCTCGGGCCGGGAGAAATATTTGTATGGCCTACATTTATTTCTCTCGTGAGTTTGGGTGTAATTTGTGGTAATCTATGTATGTGTCCATAACACCCGCGATACAGGGTTTTCCTAGTGCAGGTCTTTGAGTGTGTGCGTTGCATCAATCTTTTATTGTGCACTTTCTCAGAGAAAACGTCACGGCCGTCCTCTTCGAGTATTGCCTTCCACATTGGCTCTATTGCTTTTCGTTCTATCTCAAGTCGAGTAAGAAATGGGTTTTATTCCTTCTAATCGAATTATTTTTAACCGACTTCAAAAAAAGGAGGAGGTCCTCAATTACAAGTTACCGGAAAGTGCGCGAAATCGTATTCATACCCTAGTTTGTCACCCTTAGAGGTGGAATATTTTCTTCAAATTGAAATGGGACTACTACCGAGCATCCGAGGTACCTTCTTTCTAACAAAAAAGGAATCATCAAACCTCACCATCACCTTAACAAATAGATAATTCCACGAACTTTTGAGATCAGTTTTTTATACATATAAAAGTTACATAATTATTATTACGTAATTTTAATCTCTTTGACATACTTTTGTGTCATTTCCTCATGTGTTGTATTTGTAATGAGCATGTGACGATCCTTGACGGAGAACTATATTTGTAATAATATTATTTAATGACAGCAATATCAATTATTAATTATGAATTGTTAATTTTTATTATTATTGTATATTTGACTTTTATAATTTTAATTTTTGTTTGATAATCTCAATACATAGGAAATGAAACTGTTTTTCCGGATACAAATCGCGTATATTTGTTTTTTCAAACAAACCGACGTTTCGGGCCCGTTACAGGTCCCATGGTCACGGTTGAATCTCAATATAATTTCTTATAATTTGACATGTAGGCAATCTATGCAGCGACATTATCTTTCGCAGCGATACAATCGCGACTAGGTGCAGTCGCAGTGATATGATCGCGATTCAGTATCGATGAAGATACGATACAGTATCGATACAAACCCGACCAGGCGCAATCGCAGTGATACAATCGCGATGCAATTGCGATACAGTATAGATGCAGATACGATAGAGTATCGATACAAACGCGACACAGCCAATTTTAAATATTTAGTCAGTCAGTCGATAGCCACAACGCGATTTTTGATCCCGTTCGCTGTATAATTACTTAAAAAAAACGTAAAAATTGACATCAGAAGCACATGTATAGTAGTAGGAGAGTTCCTTGTGAAAGACATCGTCCAGAAAAGCACTGACGTTTTACCTATTTCTGCCGCTATGTAGCAATGCCCACGATACTGCGTTCCAGTTTTGAAGGACAAGGGTGCTGGGACTTGTCAACTTATGTCTCAGGAGGATGGGCGCAGTGGCAGTGCCCCTCAGATTATTGCGTGAAATTTTGAAGTTTCAATATAATACGAGCTCAGAACATGTTATTTAAATATAAAACTTTTAAAAGAAACTATTTTTAACCGACTTCAAAAAAGGAGGAGGTTCTTAATTCGACAGTATGTTTTTTTGTATGTATGTTATGCGATACCTCCGGCCTAAAATTTGTGAACCGATTTTGATGATTCTTTTTTGTTGAAAAGAGGGTATCTCGGTGGTGTCCCAATTGAAATATGAAGAAAATATTGCACCTCTAAGGGTGGCAAACTAGAGCATGTATTTCACGCAGTTTCCGGTAACCGATTTCAATTAAATTTGGGAAATAGATGTAATTCCATGAACTTTTCAGGTCGGTGTTATTCAATTATTATGTTAAGTCTTTTGTTGAAGCTACTTATTTGACTTTATTTAAATTAACTGGTGTAATTCCCTGTTGTTTTAATATTTAATAAATAAAATCATTCATTTCGTCATATTATTCCCATAAAACATTCGTTTGTTCTTACAAAGTCACTGTTCATGTTAAACGAGAGAATAAAATTAAATAATGCAAGAAAGTGATGAACAACCCTACCACTTCACGCACACGTTTGCACGTGTGCAGACAGCGCCTTATTGTACGTAGGAGTAGTAGGTAAGTTAAGTTTCTACCGTTGTATGGAGTGTCCGGGGTGTGCCCTAACTGTTATTACACCTCTCAAGTTAAGGTTAGGGTCCCTTAAAGAATACAAATGCCGTACGTACGAATTCCTCAGTACGAATTCAAATTTTTCCCGTAATAATACGGTTCGTTTTGCTTGGGTCGAGCGACAGGACACCGGCTTTACTGCACAATTTATTTTTTTACAAACGAAATTAAAGCCCTTTGAAAAATATACACTGTTTTTAACCGACTTCAAAAAAGGAGGAGGTTTTCAATTCGACTGTATGTTCTTTTTTTTGTATGTATGTTACGCGATAACTCCGATATTTGAGAACCGATTTTCATGATTCTTTTTTTGTTGGAAAGGGGGTATTTCCATAGTGGTCCCATTTCATTTTGAAGAAAATCATCCACCTCAGGGTGGCTGTTCACGCATGAAGATTCATTTTTATAAATAGCGCCTAACTTTAATTTAGGAGCAATTACTTTTAGCAATTATTTAGTTGATTTTGCTATTTCTCTAATTCAAGGCGTTTTTCTCTCGATATACTTTGAGTATTGTCGTAGTGAGAACCTATTTTTATTATCTCCAGTATCAAGTCCTGTATAGTGGCGAACTAGGGGATATTTCAATGAAACTTAGCAAATAGACGTAATTCCCCGTACTTTTGAGGTCGGTTTTTTTAGTACTCTGTACTGAGATTATATTGACTTCAGTTGATATAAAATAAATCATTGATATATGTAAAATATATATTGATAAATACAGCGGTTTTGCTGTAAAATTTCGAGGTAAGTTCGTGTTTTTTTCTATCGTGAAAATTTTTAGAGTAGACTAGTAGAGTAATCAGTGTACATCCTCAATTTTACTATATATTTTTTCCAAAGTGATTAATTCAACACTTCCACTATTATGCGGAATGAATCAAAAGCCATTTGGGGTTGTATAGACTTTTAATAGATGTCCATGTCGCCGACGACCTCAAAGTGATATGGATATAGAGCGCGAGCGCGGAGCACTATCGGTGAGAGCAATATGCTCGCGCGCAGGTTTGCCATAAGTACCGCTACAGTAAAGATTACGGACGGACGAATCGAGAATCTCGTCCTTTTTGAAGTCGCTTAATAAAAACTTTTTTAGCCTTTTCTTGAATTTAAAAACTGCTGGTTCACCATTAATACTTGATAGATAGATATCTACTATCTGTTGAATGAGTTTAGTAACAAAGCGATATGAACTTTAAATCTAGATGTATGACGGCAACGCGAAGAGATTGACTATCATTTTGTCTGCATCAAGTTAAGCAATAAGAAAGACCTTTATAGGATTGAAGGGAAGTTCGTTTACCTCGTATCACCCGAACTACGTTTTACTATAAAAAAAATGTTTTGTTTATTATACCTTTTGCAAAAACGAGTTGATCCATTTCGTGAAGGTCTTCTTCTGTATATGCAACCGCTCCTCCTGCAGCGCCTTGATCCGACCCTGCTCGAACTTAAGCGCGTCCTCGCGCTGCGTCATGTTGGTACGCTGCTGCACTGCCGCCGCGTAGCCACCGGGCTCATACTGTGGCCCTGAGAGTTCAAAAAAAAATATTGATAAAAAAATACAGGTATCAGATAATTTTGATAACGTATCACCTTTATGCAACCTAACAGAAAAAAATAACTGTTTTATTACTTTATTCAGTTGTTAGGTTTCCGTGAGTAAAGTACCTTCTAATTGAAAAGGTACGCCAGTGCGGTATCATGGCAATTGTCCGTTAAACCGATATCTTGAGACATGTGCTGAGTTTAACTTCAGGAATCGATACTACCTCAGCTCGATTCCAAAATTTTTCCGTACTAATACGGTTCATTTTGCTTGGGCCGAGAGGAACATTCGGCTTTATTTCAGAATTATTTTTTTTACAAACAAAATAACAGCCGTTTTAAAAAATAATTGTTTTTTTTTCTATCGTGAAAAATTTTAGGAATCGTGTTTTCTTTTCTATATATTTTTTTCCACAGTGTTTGACTCAACACCTTCACTATTATGCGGAACCGACCAAAGCCATTTGAGGTTGTCCAGGCTCCTAAAATTATTATTCGTTACTGCAAGAGCCATCATTATTTCGCAATGACTCTGAATTTAGATTTAGTTTAGTATTAAATAATATAGCAGGGATGTTGACGTCTTTTTTTTTGAACTGCATTCAATTCGTGAATTCTTTGAAGTTTCCTCAATATGAAAGAACGCACACGGGCACGCACGCCTTATCGATGGATGCGGATGCTGATATTCGCAACAATCCTAGTCGGACATCGGCGCCGGCGCCAGAACTCTCTTATAAAACAAAGGTTAGTTTAACAGGAATAACATACTATCACTATATATTGTCATCACAATTACCATATTTTCTCGAAGGCTGGTGCTCCTGGTAAGAAAAATAGCTGACATTGCTCAACTGACGCTGCATTGTGTATGGGCGACGTGTTTTAAACGATTCTATTTAAACATTCTGGTAACACTGACTCGTAACTGGCAATACTACATCCGCTTTTGAATTGATAACACTGTCGGAAGTGTCCAATTTTTGACATGTGGTAACACTTTTAGGTTTTGTAAGTTGGCTACACTATTGCACTGTTATTCAGGATGTTTTGGACTCACTTTGGTATATTAATTTGCTGGTAACACTGTAATTTGATTCAGTTTATAAAAGTGCCAAATTTGCCGTGTGTGGATATTTTCATGGATGACTGTTGGACTATTTGTTATCACCGACATTACTAATTTAGACAATAACCTAGTGTTATTATCTCCCAGTAGCGTAGACAGATAATACGGTTCTCAACTCGCTGCGATTCGGGGATAATTTTTCTCCCTTTCGTGTACTCTCGTCTACTCAAGTTAATATTAACCAGTCACGCGTTGTGAAGGCCCATAGTGTTCCTAACGATTTTGGTACTGTACTGTCCTAGAACCGCACGGTGTCTCTAATGCGCAGCTGCGTTGTCATAAGCCATTTAAAAAAATGTTATAATAAAAATATCAAATTCGTTGCGGGGTAAATATGTTCAACGGCGCGTTATTTTGTTTTACAGAGTTTTGTAGAGTGGGACAAAGCAATATAATACCTTTCTCACTCCGACGTAATTCTCAGCACTGGGACAGGGTCAAGAGCACGTTAAGCTTTACACTTAAGACTTAAACCCAACTCTATGCCGCTTACGATAAAAACGGTCCAAAGTACAAAGTGTCAAGCTTGACGTGCTCGTGACTGTACAATTTGGACAGATAACATGAACCTGTAGCAATGGTAATAATCTCTGTACAAAGTACTAAAACCTAGTTTGCCACCCTTAGAGGTGAAATATTCTCTTCAAATTTATAAGGGAACATTACTTAGTCTTTCTAACATAAATAGAATCATCACACAACCACACAAATATACCTAATTATGACGTCAAAATTTTGTTTTCGTCAATAATTGAAAAATTATGTTAATAATGTAAAGAACGCTAACGTAACGTAAGCATGTTCAAGTACACAAGAAGTGTGTATGTTGTTTCTTCGACACGATGTACGGTAATAAAATTTATTGTTTACACAAGTCAATAAATCGGAAAGAATGTTCGTAACGCGAGTTATCGGAGAAGCGGAGAAAAATGTTTCGCGATCAAATGTTTTCACTTACAAAAAATATACGACTAAAGACATAAAAATCCGAGAAAACATGCTAAAATAAAAATCAATATGGACGTAACTGACAAATTATTGGAAAAAATTGGAAAAAGTATATTTATATGTTATAATTATTAATACAAAGATCAAATACTTAGAAAAAAATCCTTCCATGAGGCCAAACGCTATGCCAACTAAGTTAAAAAGAAAATCTTTATTTCAGACAACGAGTTCCACGATTTAAGAAAAGTGCTTATAAATTAGTGTTAGTAGTTACATTTTTTAACCTTTAACTAAGCCACGGAGCGAACCAGCGGACGTCACGAATTTTTCCATGTGCTTGTTATCGGATCTTTGTTTCTGGTTTTTGACGACTTTTTAGCCATATACATAATTGGTTTAAAAGTTGTTAAATTATTTGCCGCGCTAAGCATTTGATCTTTATCGCTCGCTCACTTTCATTCATTCATTTCTGAGTTCACTCTCAAGTAGTGGACTTGCAAAAATTGTTCTTGACTAGGCACTAACTAGGAAGGTCAAATAATATAAAAAGTGAAGCGTGCATGAATTACTAAAAGGTTGCATGAAGTATGAAGCAATGTTAAATGAATAAAATTAATTTAGAGGAAATGAAACTATTTTTCGAATCTCAAACTCAAAGTAAAATAATCTTTATATCATAGGTAAGAAAATTACACTTGAAATCGTCATACTGTTTAATTGTAATTGTAATTTTCAATATTAAATGCGCTTAACTTAAACAATGCTTGATTGACCAGGAACTATTATGATCTTAATGAAAATTTTTATTTAAAAAACCGCAGAAAACTTTTTCTTCGACGATTACTATATTTTTATATTGTAACCCTTTAAGGATAAAAATGCAAGGTGGCTCGAATTATGCGTCCGGGAGTGTATATATATTTGAATATATTGATCATTTACAATAACAAAGACCATAAGATCGAGACTACCTGCAAGCGCTTAACGGGTCACTACCACGGTTTTTTGTCATCCAAGTACGCAGAAGCTGCACAAAGTTTTTGTTTCATTATAGTTTTAAACATCGTAAATGGCAAATTTTGAGTATCAAATGGAATCTTAATACGGAAGCGTGTACATTGCGTTGCCCCATCTAAATCAGGTATACTTAATTTTTTCAAGACCAACGTTTCAGGTCCTTTACAGGTCCCACGGCTATTTAGATACAAAAAAAAGTTCATTTCCTATATACAATCGCGATTTTTTTATAATATCAAGTGACGGGAGGAGCAAGTCATGCGCCTGATGGTAAGCCACACGCCTGTCCATAACAGTTGCAGTGCCAATCAAAGTTTTAAATCACAAAGATCTGAGGGGCACTGCCACTGCGACCGTCACCCTTAGACAAAAGACAGCTACACTCTAACAACTTGATATAATTGGAATAATAAATATGTAGTTGAGAAGTGATGCATCACTGGGAGATCACAGCTCGTTCTAATACTACAAAAACTAGTAATTTCTTAATAAATGTAACAAAAAGCGTAGATTAAAGTCGAGGCTTTATTTTGCAGACCACGACGCGCGACGGTCAAGTTGTTGTCGTCAGGTGACATAATCAGTTAAACGAAAGAAAGCACCTGTCGGTCAATACGCGTTATTCTGTCACGAAAGTAAGTCAATGTGTCACGACAATAAATTATTCTACTCTTTAGAAAAGGCATTCTATCGCATTATTCACGCTAATAACATAGAGCGCAGTGAACGATACGCGTTTGCGCATTGGCGCATTCGCGTAAGGTCAAGCGCGTGCGCCGATCGTCGACAGCTATTATGCCATTAAGGTAGTTACAACACGTAGCATAAATTCATGGTTTGCAACTAGATTAAAATATAGAGTTCAAATTGTGTGTGTTTTCTCACTTATTTATGACTTAACTATATTATAATGATAACTATGCTATTAACTATAAACGCACACACACTCAACATAGCTTTACTATATCTGAAGGTGAGAGGAAAGGACGTTAAGACCCGATGTTAAGACCATATTTTGGAATCTAGATTTTTTCGCAACACGCAACAGTAAAAGATGTCAAGTTCTGCCATCATTTGTTTTTAACCGACTTCAAAAATGGAGGAGGTTCTCGATTCGTCTGTAGTTTTTTTTAATGTAAGTTACGCGATTACTCCGGCCACTTGTGGACCATAAAGAGAGAAAAATGGCCACCGGTGTTGACCACAACAAAAATTACCGGTGTTGTTATAATGAGACTGAAAAAATATTTACTATTTTATTCAAATTAATATTGTTATATAAATAAACTTACTACTAAACTTTTATGTTCTGTACTGAACAGATATTATTACCCAATATGTCGTTATTAACGAATACCAAGTGTGTGTGACTTACATGATTCAACCAATATACGAGCCACTACTGGACACAATAAAAGAAAGTCCATTTATATATTTTTCTTAAATTGTCATCGTTGAATTAATATTCTTTTTATTACACTAAGTGACAGGACGAACTAGTCGTGCACCTGGTAGTAAGCGACACGCCTGTCCATAACAGTTGCAGTGCCATTTCGAACTTTAAATTGCAAAGATGGGAGGGGCACTGCCACTGTGCCCGTCACCCTGAGACATAAGTTGACAAGTCCCGTGTGCCTGTAATTTCACTATCTTCAAAACCGGAACGCAGTAATGCAAAACCGGAACGCAGTAATGCTCACATTACTTCTCTGGACGAACTCTTTCACAAGGAGCTCTACTCCTACTATAAGTTTGCAAATATAATAATACAATGTTAAACTGCAGGACCCGTTGCCCGTAACTGTAAGTTGAACTGCATGGTTAACTCATAACAGCATGGTTTAATTACCATGGTCATTGACCAGCACCGCTCACGTTCTACCTCATGCCTATAGGAACACACTGATGTGTAAATTTTTTATTAGCAAGCTTACATCCAGTTTGCTGTCAAGGCTCTTTGTACAAAATCCATACAATAGGTTATTCTTAAAAAGTATTTGTTGTAAATTGTACCTTACAGTGCCTTTGCAGTGGGAATGGGCTTTACTGGATGGTGGCAAGATTTGTTAGCAGTAGAGCTCCTTGGGAAACAATTCGTCTAAGGAGAATTTTGAAGGGCGAAATTACAGGCACATGGGACTTGTCAACATGTGTCTCAGGGTGATGGACGTAGTGGAAGTGCCCCTCAGATCTTTGCGATTTAAAGCTCTGAACGGCAGTGTAACTGTTATGAACAGATGTGTCGCTTACCATCGGGCGCACGACTTTTTCCTCCCGTCAATTGGTAGGTATCATTAAAAAAGAGGAAGTTAAGGAGTCACCAGACTTATCAACGCGGAATCGGCTGGAGCTGGTCAAAATGAAACTTTATATCAATGCAATAAAAAAATGTTGTATTCAAACCGACGCGAACATCACACACAACATCTTTTTCACTCTTATTACATAGACATACGAAGGGCGGCTGAAAAGTAACCTACGTAAGTACGAAATAAAAGACGACTATGGCTACTTTTTACTCGACTACGGTAGGGTTATGTTTTTCAACCTTCATTTCTAAGTTTTCCTGTACAGCCTAAACGGCTTGATGGGTTTTGACTGATGACTTATGAGGTGTCGTTATATTCGTCTTGATTGAGAGAGTGTCATAGGCTATAAAATAGTAATGAGGGCTAATTTTTTCAGCTAAATATTTTTGTAGTCGGGTTTTTGGTTTTTAAATAATTTCAATATCTGTTAAAAAAGAAGGTCCTCATTTTTAAGCATCTATCTTTTTCGTCCAACATGTTGTCCATACAAAGCGAAACGTAATAAACAAAAGAATGTCGCTAATTTTGAAAAAAGAACTAACAGCGAATACGTCACAATAGTGGCCTGTGTTATTTTGAAATTGGAATTTAGTCAAAAGAGATTACTTCTCAACCGCCCATCGCAAAGCGTTTTCTGGCCGGCTTAACTTGAATTCCGTGTCGACAAGTGCAGCAACTCCCTT